GCAGAGTGTATCGGCGAGAACAGTTTCGTTTGCTGCTGATGCCTAGGGAAGGATGGGACAAGAGGACCCATACTGCTCCCCAAGATGGCAATTGATGCCCTCGAATCGAATCGAAATTAATTCAGCTGATGGCTACCATTGCTTCGGCTACGTATTTCACATTTGATTAAATGTATATGGCAGGCTTCCATACAAGTGTATGTAAAACTGAACTACAATTTGAGGATGCAAGTAAATGGAATAAACCGTTTATGCCGCAAGTAAATTTTATGGATGACGTCCTCTTGAGACCCTACATCTAAAGAGCAAAAAAACAAGATGCCAGGATTTGAAAGAGACGTCAATGAGTGACCCCGGATCGGCAAACGAGAGCTGGGGTCACTCAGTGTGCCTACTGGAGCTACGCCGTTCTGAATGACTCGAGTTGGCTCCGAATTCCCGTTTAGTCTGTGAGACAGGCAGAGGCCAAACACTTAATAACGTTAAATAACATCATTTCAAGACTGAAGGACTGCCAGAAAATCTGGTTGATCAGAGAATGTGATCACCTTTCACCCCGAGATCTGCTCGGAGGCTAGTAAGATAAACATAACTACTACTATTTTTTGCCAAAAAAAGTAAGCTCTACTGCACCAGATCACGGTACTGTGGCAAGGCTATTCTAGTGCTTCCTTCGCTTACAAACAGTTGTAAACATTTTAAATTTATGCTAAGAATGGTAAAGGCCAAATGATTACTGCTGGTATATTGTGATAAACATTGTCAACAGGATCTAATCTAAGATGTTGTTCCCAACATGTAACTGATCATAAAAGACATAAGTTGTATTTTCTCTTATCCTAGATTTTTTTCATTAATGCAAGTACCTTATTAAGTATATATGCTCACACAACTAGAACCCAAGTTTGATCACTTGGTGACCTCTCAGCTGAGCAGTAACCACCATTGAGATAACCACCCCTTTGTTTGTAAATCATTGCTTATTTTCGAATGTTGAGAGATCTAACAGGATTTTTTCTTTGCTAACGATCATTTGTTCAAGGGTCAATGAACAGCAAAATAAATCAATAGACGAAATGCTGATGTCGTCAGTGTGTGTATATTGTCTGGAATCAAGGTGTAAATTATATAATGGTACAAGTACCTTCAAAGCATATCAAAGAGGGTATATAGGGTCCTTTCTGTCGGGTTGTGAGCTCTGTATTGTGCCACGGTAAAAGATCTAATGCAAGTTTAAATTTGTGCCAATACAAACTTGTAGGGCTTGCAGTAGCTTGACGAAATAGCGCCCCTAGCGGCCGACCCGCCTGACAGGGAGAGTTTTCATTCAGCCCAGCCAGTGAAAGATTGAGTAAACATAGGCTAGGACTGAATAGCCCGGGAGACATCCGTTTTTAGTATCCTTTTCTTTGGGGCAGCGAGTACATAGTGCAAGTAGCCCCGTTATAAAACGCCGCGAAGGGCTGCAAATGTAGGAAAATACTTACTAGACAACATGATAAAAATTGTGCATCAAATCCACAGTGTAAGTACCTGCACCAATTCAAGTTTGGTTAAGTTTATAATCTCCTATGTATGAATGTCTCATTGTTGACTTGTGCAAACCAACTCTATACTTAAATGTGCCAAGTCGTCTATTTGTAGTCCTTGTAATGATTAACGTTATCATAACAATCTCAATTGCGGCATACATTTAGAATACTACAGCCCGACCGCGGGTCGGATCGCCCGAAGGCCGGAGGGAGATCCGATCCGCGGGAGGGCTGGGACTGAGGGTGATGCGGAATACACCGTGTGCTATTTTATTCATGTCATACCTACCCGAGAAAACAGACATTTCAATGCGAAATGTGCCAAAATTTGGTGTATCCAAACAAAAACAAAAAAAGTGTAACGGCGTCAATTCCAACATCCGAATTCGGTGTTTCAAGTTTCGAAAGCGGCTCACTCGGTGCACGCGAAACGCACTATGGAACATTTGGAAGCCCGGGCCGTACGCGTAAAGAACCCCGGGCCGTACGGACGGGTGATTATCACACGGGCCGGAACGGCCCAGGTATGATAAAGGGGTCAACGTGCTACCGGCTCTTTCTTTTTAAAAAGCAATTTGTTACCTTGGAAGGACATATAAACTGAACAATAGCAAAAACATAATACATATGCTATCATAAACTGGGATTACTTTTGAAAGAGGTAAAATGTCGGCATAAAAGAGCTAGTACCCATAAGCCCGCGCGCTCCGAAACTGGTATGCAGAACATGTCAGGTTAGAGACAGCATTCTGTGCCATTGAGACGTCTTGAACCGTCAAATAACAAACACTGCTGTTCTCTGACGAAAGTAGGACTGAGCATTTACATACATAAGTGACTCCGTGGCGGATCGGTGCTGAGATATCTCTGAGATTCCTCTCCGATTTGTGCTTCACAGGTAAGAACGTGTTCACTGTACACATTCTAAATCTCAGGGGAAGGTTTATCAAGCTACGTAGCTACACTTTATTACTCATAGTGCATGGCATGAAATGTCTAAAACACATGGCTGCTAACCTGTTTGAAACGACCAGAACAGTTAAGTAACAGGCCAAATGCTTCTGGGTCTCAACTACAACGCTTTACACTCAACTGAGTTACTGAAATCTTGTTCAGAAAGTGGTTTATAGTTGGATGGAAACAAATACACATAACGTTAGGTGTCAAAGTGGGAGCAATTGGTGTACGTACGTAAGTACATGTAATGGACGTGGCCAGATTATCAATCACAACCAGTGCATTATTTATGTTATTCCAAGGTGAACGACTGGACATAAACCTACATGTACAGTTAGACAGTACTTCTCACGGTTCAACATTGCTCGTATAGGTCTCTCTAGAACGCCACATTTTGTTCTAAATGCACGAAAATTGGAATTTTTAACTGCACTATCACGTGACACTCAGTTTCAGAAGCAATGCTATGATGTACAATCACGTGACACTCAGTTTCATAAGCAAGCTATGATGTACAATCACGTGACACTCGGTTTCAGAAGCAAGCTATGATGTACAATCATGTGACACTCAGTCTCAGAAGCAAGCTATGATGTACAATCACGTGACACCCAGTTTCAGAAGCAAGCTATGATGTACAATCATGTGACACTCAGTTTCAGAAGCAAGCTATGATGTACAATCATGTGACACTCAGTTTCAGAAGCAAGCTATGATGTACAATCACGTGACACTCAGTTTCAGAAGCAAGCTATGATGTATAATCACGTGACACTCAGTTTCAGAAGCAAGCTATGATGTATAATCACGTGACACTCAGTTTCAGAAGCAAGCTATGATGTACAATCACGTGACACTCAGTTTCAGAAGCATGCTATGATGTACAATCACGTGACACTCAGTTTCAGAAGAAAGCTATGATGTTTACCAGGCTGACATAGTGCCCCTCCCATGTGAAATATGTGAAAGTTCATTGTTCAATAGTGACTCACCTAAGTGAACCAACAGGTGACGTGTTCATTAGTTTAAAAATTCACGTAGGATAGTTTTGTCACGTTCAAATAAGCTTCTAAAAATCACGCAAAAGTTCAGCCGCTAGGTCGTTAAGTTTCAGTGCATGATGCATTGTATAGCTTCAGATCTAGTATTTAGCGAAGAGCGTAGAGAGGTTTATTTTGTTCGGTGTGATAATTGTTAAGAGTCCCCCTGAATCTATCGTAGTGTGTTGTTGGGGGCTACGTTTCCTGGTTCCGGTCGATTCATGTTCGAGATAACTTGACGGCAATCATTGAGACGTTTTGAACCGTTGCATAACAAACACTGCTGTTCTCTGCCGAAAGTAGGACTGAGCATTGGAATCATTGTCAGGCTTGCGAGCTACCTTCATAAGCCACGTTAAATCATGATGGACTTTAAGACTGATATTGGTCCCTGTACCGAATAGTTATTGACCCAAATGCACAACAATAGACACTGTATGCTTCTCAAAATGGCAAAGTATTGTGTTTGTTTATAGCCGCTCCCATGTCAGAGTTGCTTTGGGACATTGAAATTTCAGTAGTATGGCTCACAATATGTTAAAGTGGAAAACGAGTTACAGTTCATTTACATACATAAGTGATTCCGTGGCGGATCAGCGCTCAGATATCTCTGAGATTGCTCTCCGATTTGTGCTTCACAGAAGTTGTAGCCTAGGTGCCATCCCCAGTAGTATTCGCCCGCTAGCTTTTATAAAGGGGGTGGCACTCAGGCTGAAGAACATGTTCACTGTACACATTCTAGATCTCAGAGGAAGGTTTATTAGTCTACGTTGCTACACTGTATCACTCTCAGTGCTTGACATGAAATGTCTAGAAACCCATCATGCTATCATGGCTGCTAGCTCTGTTTGAAACGACTAGAACAGTTTTAATGACAGGCTTGCCGAATGCTTCTGGGTTTCCACTTAACGCTCAACTGAGTTACTAACATCTTGATCCGTGGTTTATGGTTGGATGGAAACAAATACACATAACGTTAGGTGTCAGAGTGGGAGCAATTGGTGGACGTAAGTACAGTTAATGAACGTGGACAGATTATCAACCACAACCAGTGCATTATTCATGTTATTCCGAGGTGAACGACTGGACATAAACCTACATGTACAGTTAGACTGTACTTATCACGGTTTAACATTGCTGATCGTATAGGTCTCTCTAGAACGCCACATTTTGTTCTAAACGCACGAAAATTGGAATTTTCAACTGCACTATCACGTGACACTCAGTTTCGGAAGCATGCTATGATGTACAATCACGTGACACTCAGTTTCAGAAGCAAGGTATGATGTACAATCACGTGACACTCAGTTTCAGAAGTAAGCTATGATGTCTACCAGGCTGACATGTTGTCCCTCCCATGTCAAATATGTGAAAGTTCATAGTTCAATAGTGACTCACATAAGGGAACCAACAGGTTAAACACTTGTTCATCAGTTTAAAAATTCAGGTAAGATATTTTTGTCACGTTCAAATAAGCTTCTGAAAATCACGCAAAAGTTCAGCCGCTAGATCGTTGAGTTTCAGTGCATGATGCATTGTATAGCTTTTCAAATCTAGGATTTAGCGAATAGCGTAGAGAGGTTTATTTTGTTCGGTGTGATAATTGCAAAGAGTCCCTCTGAATCTATCGTAGTGTGTTGTTGGAGGCTACGTTTTCTGGTTCCGGTCGATTCTTGTTCGCGGTAACCTGACGGCATTCTTACATTGAGACGTTTTGAACCGTTGAATAACAAACACTGCTGTTCTCTGCCGAGAGTAAGGCTGAGCATTGGAATCATTTTCAGGCTTCATAAGCCACGTTAAATCATGATGGACTTTTAGACTGATATTGGTCCCTGTACCGAATAGTTATTGACCCAAATGCACAATAATAGACACTGTATGCTTCACAAAAAGGCAAGCGTTTGTTCATAGCCGCTCCCATGTCAGAGCTGACACTTTGACGTCATTCAGTAGTATGGCTCACAATAAGATTAAGTGGAAGAACGAGTTACAGTTCATTTACATAGTTACATAAGTGACTCCGCAGAGGATCAGTGCTGAGATATCTCTGAGATTGCTCTCCGGTTTGTGCTTCACAGAACATGTAGCCTGGGTGCCATCCCCAGTCGTATTCGCCCGCTAGCTTAACTGGTAGCTAGCGACATTATAGAGCGGGCGAATACTAAAGGGGGTGGCACCCAGGCTAATGAACATGTTCACTGTAGAGTCCATTCCGCGTCACCGAGTGGGTTTTTTCTCCATGTTTCTAATACGTTTGAATTATTTAGAAGAAAAGAATACCCTAGTAACAAAAGTTCTAAATTTTTCAAAAATTTGAAAATGAAAATTTGAATAGATTTGAATTCATTTATATATTTCTGAAACATTTTGAAAGTGACTGTACAAAGATCTCTTTATTTAGAATGGATTTGAACTATCCATGTGTTTCTTTCACTATTCGAAATATTAAGAAATATTTCAAACAAATAACCAAATGGTAGATGTGGGTAATTGCCCCCATAAAACTAGGTGCTAATCCTACTCTTCTGTATTCTTCTGTATATTTTTAGATTTCACTGCTGGACACTGGTGGCTCTTTTGTTGTAAGGCATCAATGCCTGACACCCAGACAGTCTACCCTGTACTCCACAGGGATGTGTGAATTACTTCCTTCCCATCCCACTGACCTATTTACAAAATGTTAGAAATAATTCGAAATAATGGTAAAAAATGGTAGAGTGCTGTTAGAAATATTTAGAAACTATTGGAAATGTCATAATCCACATCAGGAATATTTCAAATATGTTAGAAAACCAGGGAATTATTTAGAATATTGACAAGATGTTCAAAATATTTCCAATTATGAAATTTCTCAAACAAACAATTACAAAGAGTTCAAAACATTTCTAAATAATGACAATAATAACCCACTCGGTGACGCGGAATGGACTCTACACATGTACATTTTAAATCTCAGAGGAAGATTTATCAAGTTATGTTGCTACACTGTATCACCCACAGTGCTTGACATGAATGTCTAGAAATCCATCATGCTATCATGGCTGCTAGCTCTGAAACGACCTGAACAGTTTTAGTGGCAGGCTTGCCGAATGCTTCTGGGTTTCCGCTTTACGCTCAACTGAGTTACTAAAATCTTGATCCGTGGTTTATGGTTGGATGGAACAACAAATACACATAACGTTACGTGTCAAAGTGGGAGCAATTGGTGGGGTATAAGTACATATAATGGACGTGGACAGATTATCAATCAAAGTCAGTGCAGTATGTTTATTCAGATTCAGGTGAACAACACAAACCTGCAATAAGGCCTTACTTATCACCGTTTAACATTGCTGATCGCTTAGGTCCCTCTAGAACGCAACAGTCTTGTTCTGAATGCACGAAAATTAGAACTTTCAACTGCACAATCACTTGACACTCAGTTTCAGAAGCAAGCTATGATGTTTACCAAGCTGACATGGTGCCCCTCCCATGTCAAATATGTGAAAGTTCATAGTTACCTAAGTGAACCAACAGGTTAGACATGCATTGTATGCAGAAGTAATAGGTCTCGATCCCACGTCAGTCTAGATCTAGATGTGTTCATTATTTTAAAAATTCACGTAGGATAGTTTTGTGACGTTCAAATAAGCTTCTAAAAATCACGCAAAAGTTCAGCCGCTAGGTCGTTAAGTTTCAGTGCATGATGCATTGTATAGCTTCAGATCTAGGATTTAGCGAAGAGCGTAGAGAGGTTTATTTTGTTCGGTGTGATAATTGTAAAGAGTCCCTCTGAATCCATCGTAGTGCGCTGTTGGAACACCCCCTTACTGGCTTACATGCCTTAGGCAGCTCGGGAGTAGCGTTACGCCACTCTCCTTGCAGAGGCCCTGGCGGAGAAAATAATGGCTACCTCGCTTTAACGTTACACATAATCAGCGATATGAATGTAATGATTCGTAATGGGCACCTGTAATTTTGGTAATTCTTGATCAACCCTCATGCAGGGCCCCACATATGTGTGTTTGAAGGTGGCTTCTGTGCACGATAACTCAAGAAGTTTTGGATGCATCTGGCTTGTCGTGAAATTTAGTATGTGGTTAGGGCTTGACATATGAAGAAATGATTGGCAGATTCTCACGAATTTTCGTTTGTAGGTTTAAATCATGATTTGCTAATTATGCAAATCATTACCTCCTTTTCAATTTGCTAATTATGCCAATCATGATCTATTTTTCCTCATCAAAATGATGAAATTTTATGATTTAGCTGTGTTTCATGATATGACATTCAAACACATAACATGACGTGTAACTAAAACAGAGGAAAATCAATGCATATCAAATATGCGTGAGTTAAGTAATGGTGAATATCACTAGACATAAATCACACGCCCGCCTCATGTACATGAGAAAATGGTACAGCAGCCTTCTTTGTGAAGATATGATAATTTGACATTCGAGTGTAGAATATAATCAACTGATATGATTGGCGTAAAAGGGGACCTTATTTGAATAATCAAGAAAAGAATTTACATGTATAGTACGCCCTTCAAAGGTCAAGATAAATTGACGAAGATATGATGTGGAACTCGGGCTTCATAATTTGCTATCTTAATGTAATGCATATGTATGTACACTTTACACACTTTTAGTTGCAAACGTGTTTATTGTGTCTTCCTACAGGCCTGATAATACAGTCCCGCATCGATCTGCCATGTATGGTGGCTACTACGACGATTTTGGCTACCATGACCCTGACGATTACCATGACCGCGACCGTTACCATGACTATGGCAGGAAGAAATATGAACAAATCATGGCCGACGCGCGTTTTGAAGCCGCGGACTGGTTAAGAAGGAGGGACAGAGAACTAGAAGACGGATACCGTAGTTTCGAAAACTACGGCCAAGGAAGCGAGCTTCTTTCTGAACTTGTCAGCCAGCGGAAGAGTGGGGAATTGCTTGATATAGTGGTGGAAGTCGAGGGTAGGGAGTTCCCCTGTCACCGGGCTGTGTTGGCATCCACGCCGTACTTCAAGGCCATGTTGTCCTCAAACTTCGCTGAAAGTAGTTCAAGGGCCATAAAGCTGCACGAGGTTGACTCCACCAGCTTCTGTAAGATCCTGGACTTCCTGTATACCGGGAAAATCCGCATCGGTAAAGACGACGTCCAGAACATTCTGCAGACGGCTCATATGCTACAGTTGGACAAAATTGTGCAGTACTGCCGTGAGTTCATCCAAGACAACCTCTGCCTTTCCAACTGTCTGGGCGTCATGCGCCTGGCCGACCTTTATGGTCTTTCTGCCTTGAAGACGAAAGCATGGGACATGGCAGTGTCAAACTTCTTAGACGTCACACAGGAAGAGGAGTTCCTTAGCCTTTCCGCGCAACAGCTTGCAGATCTACTCGGAGACGAACATCTTAAAGTTACGAACGAAGATGACGTTGTCAATTCTGTGCTAAGATGGCTCGACCATGCCCCTGAGACCCAACAAACAGCAATGCTAAAGATTTTACAAGAGATCCGTTTGTCTTGCGTGAGGGCCAGTGTGCTACAGAGGCTGGAGTCACACCCTGTGATACAGGCGTCAACAGAATGCCTGGCAAAGATCACAGCAGTCAGAGAGAAACACCTCCTTGCCACACGGGTAGAAGATACAGCTGGTCCTAGACGTGGGATATCGGACAACCTGGCAATCATTGTCGGCGGTTGGAATGCAAACGAGGGATTCCAATTAAAAGGCGAACCCCCATCAGTGGATAGCATAATTTGCCTAGACCCAGATAGCGAGCAATACTACCACATCATTACCCTTCCAACGTCTGTTTCGGGTCACATGAGCGTGGCAAGTGCAGGGAGACACCTGTACGTATCAGGTGGGCGGCACCATCCTGTGGTCGGCCAGGGGCGCCAACCTACCCCATCCAGGCAAGCCTTTCGGTACGATTTCCCTTCGGACACTTGGCTTAGGCTGCCCGACATGCCCGACGGCTGGGCAGGGCATCAGTCAGTAGTCGTTGACGGGAAACTCTTCCTGGTCTATGCAAGGAGGTTTAAGAATGTGAAAATGGGTTGTTATGATCCTAAAAGGCGGGCTTGGATAGATGTACATGTGCACCCTCCTTTGCGCCCTTCGTGGGACTTGACGGTAACAGCCTCCGGGGACAAGGTTGTATTCATCGTGCCAAAGATCACGGAATCCGATGACCGCCCCAGTGACGTACAGCAAATGGCGGATATTCAACAAAGCCCGGGTCGCGAAAAACTGTGTTGCCATGCGTTTGATGTGAACACCAAAGATTGGCAGTACGCCGATATCCAGATTGAAAGCCGATCCGTGGAGGACGTGGATATCCTTACTACTACTGTCAATGACAAGCTTTATATCCGTACTGGATATACCCAGGACTCAGACCTTTATATCTTCGATGCCGAAGAGAATACTCTAACGAAGGGTCTTTCACGGCAGTGGAAAGAGGACGTCCTTAGTGATGGCTATGGATATGTGAGCCACTACTACGGCAGTTCATTGAGAAAGGACGTCAGGGGCATCGTGAATACCATTAGCTACTGCAAGTTTGGAGACAACCACAGCACAAGGCCGACGTTTGGAGGCCACCACATCCCCACAAGGCCGACGTTTGGAGACCCCCACATCCCCACAAGGCCGACACTTAGAGGCCGCCACATCTCCACAGGGCAGACGTTTGTAGAACGGGATACGCCGCTTCCGTTTCCCATATTCGGCCATTGCTTCCTCCAGACCAAGAAGAGCAGTATCGGGTGGTACTCCCGGGACCTTGTAGTACTGGGGAAAGACGGCAAACGAGAGCAGGGGTCACTCAGTGAGCCTACTGGAGCTACGAGCTCTGAGTGACCAGAGTGTGTGAGATAGGCAGATGCCAAGCACTTATTATTAATAATAACATCATTTCAAGAATGAAAGACTGCCAGAAAACCCGGTTGATCAGATAATGTGATCACCTTCACCCCAAGATCAACTCGAAGATAAGATAAACATGAACTAGAAAGGCCAACATCTGCTCGGGAGCAAATGCAGCACACTACATGCCCCATACCAAAAATAGACCTATCCCCCCTCCCGCACAAATGGACTGTTCCTAAAGAACCCCCGTTCAAAATGTGGAGTGTTCCAATAGTGTTTATACTCTCATGCAGCAATGGAATCTGCAAACGCCTTCTGCTATTGGAACATGTAGAACCAATGACATTCTGTGATAGAACATCCTTAGTAGAACCAGTGTTCTATTTAGAACTGTCACACAGTGTCAGTTGGAGATTTGGAGTTTTCAAGCTATAATCTCTGTTTTTACTGAAAGTAATGTAAATAAAAGTAGTAAAAGGCTGAATGTAAATAGTGAACACTATAGTCTAAGCACTTGGTGCCAACGCTACCCTAGATGCTGAATTTCAGGTCATTTGGTTTTTATATTAGTGCACAGGAGCCAAAAATGGACATTTTGGTCAAAAATAGCAAGAAAGTCCCATTTTACGTAATTTTGAATTGCCAAACGCCTAAAGTGTAATTTACATTCTGTGGTCTTGTATCCAAGGATCTCCCATACCAAATTTCAGATCATTTGGTTTTAATACTAGTATTAGGGCACAGAAGCCAAAAATGTACATTTTTGGTCCGGAAATGGCAAAAAAAACCTTCTTTGTTCAATTTTAAAGTGGTGTATGTCAAAAGCATGAATGGCATTCTTTGGGCATATGTCCAAGGTATCCCCATACCAAATTTCAGGTCATTCGGATTTGATATAAGGGCACAGGAGCCAAAAATGTACATTTTTTGTCCGAAAATAGCAAAAAAGGCCCAATTTAACACAATTTTAAAGTGGTGTATGTCGAAAGCTTGAATGAGCTTTTATAGACATCTGTCCAAGGTATCCCATTACCAAATTTCAGGTCATTTGGTTGTAGTATCAGGACTTCAGATCCCAAAAAGTATTTTTTTGCCTGAAAATGGCCAAAAAAAGAACAATTTAAAAAAAAATTATGCTACAATTCATGTCATTTGGCCCAAAAAATGAAGAAATTGAATCCATCTATATTATCGAAATGGCAGGAGAAGAAGGAACATGAGAAGAAACAATAATACTTCCCCACATAGTGGTGAAGCCATAACTATTTTGAGCAAAAAAAAAAAGCTCTACAGCACCTGAGACCACGATACTGTGGCAAGGCTATTCTTGTGTTTCCTGCGCTTACAAACAGATGTGAACATTTTGGATTTATGCTAAGAATGGTAAAGGGCAAATAATTATTGCTGGTATATTGTGATTAACATTGTCAATAGGGTCTGTTCTAAGATGTTGTTCTCAGTTCCCAACATGTAACTGATCATAAAAGACATGAATTGTATTTTATCTTATCCTAGATTTTTTTCATTAATGCAAGTACCTAATTAAGTATATATGTTCACACAACCAGAACCTAAGTTTGACCACTTGATGTCCTTTAAACTGAACAGTAGCCACCATTATGATAACCACCACTATTCTTGTTTGCAAATCATAGCTTATTTCCGGATGTTTAGCTAGAGATCTAACCGGATTTTTTTTCTTTGCTTATAATCATTTGTTCGAAGTTCAGAATATAAACAGAAAAATAAATCAATAGACGGAATGCTGATGTCGTCAGTGTGTATATATTGTCTGGAATCAAGGCGTAAATGATATAATGGTACTATATATGTACCTTCAAAGCAATAATGGGGGTATATTGAAGAGGGTATAGGGTTCTTGCTGTCAGTTTGTGAGCTCTGAATTGTGCCAAGGTGAACGATCTACTGCAAATTTGTGGCAGTGCCAATTCAAAGTCTTAACTTTCAGTAGTTTTAGGGCTTGCAATAGCCTGACTAAATAGCGCCCCTAGCGGCCGACCCGCCTGACAGGGAGGGCCGGGGGTTTCATAGTCTAGTGTCCAGCCTTGTTAGCTTCAGTCCGCTCCCCAAGATCTTCGGGAGAGGACTAAAGCTAACAAGGCTGGACATAAGGCTAGGGGTTTCATCCATTAACCCCAGTTAGTGAGAGATTGATCACGAGCTAGAGTAAACACAGGCAGGGGTGCATAGCCTGGGAGCCATCCCATGTTGTACCCGTGTGCAAGGAGCCCCGTTACAAAACGGGTGGCACCCAGGCTAATTAAGGGCTGCAATTGTGGAAAAAATACTTACTAGAAGATTTAATCTAACGTATGCATAAAAGTCAGAGTGTATGAAGTGTATCATCTCCTATATGTATGAATGTCTCCTTGTTGACTTGTGCAAACCAGCTCTATATTTGAATGCGCCAAGTACGATGGTTTATTTGTACTCCTTATAATGATTAACGTTATCATAACAATCTCCATTGCGGCATACAAGGGTCAACGTGCTACCGGCTGTTTCTTTTTGAAAGCAATTTGTTACCTTGGGAGGGCATATAAAATGAATAATAGCAAAAACAAAGTACACCTGCTACTACAAACTGGGCTTGCTTTAGAAAGGAGAAAAATGGTGGCATATAAGAGTATCCATCAGTCCACGCGCTACGAAACTGTTATGCAGAAGTTGTAACGTTAAAAGGAACATTTCCTGGTCTCCATTTAGTCCTTGCATATTGTCCGAGCTATATGTGTCTTGATAGCATTTCATGCACTGAGACGTCTATGAAGTGAAGAACCGTCGAATAACAAACACTGCTGTTCTCTGCGGAAAGTAGGGCTGAACATTGCAATTCGCAGGTTGGTGGGCTAGCTTCATAAGCCATGTTAATCATGATGTACTTCGATATGCATGTATTGCACATGCATACGTACTGACATGCGTTGTATAATTGTGTCTACATGTATAGTCATGTTAAAACTGATATATTTTAGATGTATATGCAACTGGTTTTAGTGTGTATACAAATAATGGCCACCAAGAGAGCTTGAGATGGGAAAACGGCCTTATACGGCTGAAAAAAGTTCCACCAGGTTGGTAGAACATAGGATATTGGAATTTTCTTTTTCATAGCTAGTGATGTTACATAGCTATATGTTTCATAGCTCATCTTGCGGTTCGACTATCAGACACCTTCGCCAGAGCTTATGACTGGAGTACTACAACTCGCCTCTGTGAAGCCAGATGTTTAGAGATCTACCTGGATTTTTTCTATGCTAATGATTAATTGTTTAAAGATCAAAGAACAGAAAAAATAGATCAATAACGAAATGCTGATGCTGTCAATACCGCATGTAGTAGCCTGACTAAGTAGCGCTCCTAGCGGCCGGCCCGCCTGACAATTCGGGGAGGGGGTGTCAATTAATTCAAGCCAGCGAGCGACTGAGTAAACACTAGGGCTGCACCGACATCCGTTTTTTTCGGGGTAGCGAGCTCGAGTGCGAGAAGCCCCATTACAAAAAAAGGCTGATCCCCAGGCTGACTGCAAAAGTGATGTGATTAAACTTGTGCATAAATTCATAGACTGTATGAACCTGCAGGAATCCATCTAGTTTGGTTTAGTGAATCATATCGTCTCGTATTTATGAATGTTGGCTTGTTCAAACCGGCTCTATATTCAAATGCGCCAAGTCGTCTATTTGTAGTCCTTATAATGATTAACGTTATAACAATCTCCATTGAGGCATACAAGGGTCTACATGTACGTGCTACCGGTTCTTTCTCTTTGGAATCATACTTTCCCTTGGGAGGACATACAAACTGAAAAATAGCAAAAACAAAGTACACATGCTATCATAAACTGGGCTTGCTTTTGAAAGAAGTAAAAAAAAATGTAGGCATAAAAGAGTACCCATAAGCCCACGCGCTCCGAAACTGTTATGCGGAAGTTGTCACGTTAAAAGGAACATTTCCTGGTCTCGGTCGGTTCTTGTCCGAGCTATATGTATCTTGAAAGCATTCCATGCATTTAGACGTGTATGAAGTGAAGGATTGTCAAACACCAAAAACACTGCTGTTCTCTGTGGAAAGCAGGGCTGAACATTGGAATCATTTGCAGGTTGGTGGGCTAGCTAATTTTATAAGGCTTGATGATGGACTTTGATATATTGTACATGCATACGTACTGACTTGCGTCATAAGCTTGGGTCTCTCTGTAGCTATGTTAAAACTTCCCTGCGTTTATTTCTGTCCAGCAGATTTCATAGAATTCTGAGTAAACCACCGTCATGTCCTGGGATTATGATTTCGATGCCTCGAGTGAAGACGACGACTATGATGAATTATACCTGGTTAGTACTATGACTTTGGCTGATTCTGCACCTGATAACCCGTACCACGGCAGTACAAGGGTGTTAACCCCTACACTGGCCCGAAGAAGGAGAGACATGTACAGAGAATCAGATGACGGCCCCCTTGTCGACGTCTATGGATACGACTATGATGAATTGGACCAGATAAGTACTATGACCTTGACTGATTCTGCACCTGATAACCCGTGCTACGACAGTCCAAGGCCGCCAGTACTCCCACCATATCGCAGAAGGTGCTACATGGAATCTGATGACAGTACGCCGCCGCCAGTACGTATACCACCCCCACGTATACCACCCGCCCCCTACATACGTATACCACCCCCACCATACATGGAATCTGATGACGGCTCCCGTCTCTATGCAAACTACCTCCATGGGGTCAAGCATACCCATCTTGCTAAACTTGACAACCAGCGAAAGGCTAGGAAATTCCTTGACGTGATGGTACAAGTCGATGGTAGGGAGTTTCCCTGTCACCGGGCTGTGTTGACATCCACGCAGTACTTCGAGACCATGTTGTCGTCCAACTTCTCTGAGAGTAGTTCTGGGGTCATACAGCTGCGTGAGATAGACTCTAACAGCTTCTCCAAGATCCTGGACTTCCTGTATACCGGGGAAATCCGCATCGGTCAAGATGACGTCCAGGACATTCTGCAGACGGCACACATGCTACTGTTGGACAAAATTGTGCAGTACTGCCGTGTGTTCATCGAGGACAACCTCTGCCCGTCCAACTGTCTGGGCGTCATGCGCCTGGCCGACCTGTATGGTTTTTCTGTCTTGAAGAAGAAAGCATGGGACATGGCAACGTCAATTTTGTCAGACTTCTCAGACATCGCACAAGATGAGAGGTTCCTTACCCTTTCGGCACAAGAGCTCTTAGTTTTACTCGGAGATGAGTTCAAGCATCCGAGAGTTACGAATGAGGACGATGTCGTCAACTCTGTGTTAAGATGGCTCGACCATGACCCTGAGAAACGTCAAATAGCAATCCCAATGATATTTCAAGAAATACGTCTGTCTTGCGTGAGGGTCAGCGTGCTACAGAAGCTGGAGTCACACCCTTTGATACAAGAGTCCGCAGAATGCCTGGCAAAGATCACAGCAGCTAAGGAGAAACATCTCGGTACACAGGTAAAAGGAGAAGATGCAAGTGTTCCTAGACGCGGGATATCGGACGATCTGGCAATTATTGTCGGTGGTTGGAAGGCAGTCGGTGGAAAGCCAATAATAATTTGCTTTGAACCAGACTGTCAGCAATACTACCACATCACCACCCTCCCAACACCTGCTTCTGAGTACATGAGCGTGGCAAGTGCAGGGAGACACCTGTATGTGACAGGTGGGCGGGTCCATCCCGTGGTCGGCCAGGGTCCCAAATCTTTCTCCAGGCAAGCCTTTCAGTACGAGTTCCCTTCGGACACTTGGCTAAGGCTGCCCGACATGCCTCGCGGCTGGGCAGAGCATCAGTCAGTGGTCGTTGACGGGAAACTCTTCGTGGTCTACCAGACGTCTTTGATGACCATGGGCATGGATTGCTATGATCCTGAAGAGGGGGCTTGGATGTACATAAACGAGCGACCATCACTGGGCCCTTCATCAAAATGGATGGTAACAGCATCCGGAGACAAGGTTGCTATTATCGTGTCAAAGGCAAAGATCATCCAGCGAAGAAAGTACCCTTGGGGGTGGGGGCCGTCTTGGTTAGTCCGTGTGTTGTGTGTTCATGCGTTTGATGTGAAAACCAAAGATTGGAGCTACGCAGTATATCCAGATGGATAAAGTCCAGTCAAGCCAGTCTGTGGAGGAGGGACGTGGACATCCGCGCTACAACTGACACTGACAAGCTTTATACCCGTACTGGATGTACCGAGGAATCCGACTTATACATCTTCGATGCCAAAGAGGAGACCCTAACGAAGGGTGATCAACGAGATTGGCATGAGAACGTCCTTTGCGTGCAATGTAAGCGCAGCTACCGCTACGTGAAACAGAAGGACGAGGGTAACGGCATCGTGGATACCATTTGCTACGAGCTTAG